GGTCACAGGTGCTGGCGAAATGTTAGGAAACAAAACTTCCAGAACATGGCCACACAGCCCGTAAGACCCACACCAGCCATGCTATCCCATCTTTTGGAACAATCTTCCCAATGGAACTTACATTAATGTAAACATTTTGGGAGGGAAATACAGTATTATTTAAAAACAAAGACATTTTTGTCATGTCTCCTATAAATCAGTTGGTGGTAATGGCCAGTGGATTAAAAAAGAGAGAGAAAGAGCAGATTCTAACTAATCAGGCTTCTGTGGTGGTTATCACTTGCTCTGTCTTCTTCTCAGTTGCCTTTGGAGAACTTTTCCAGGGCATATTGTGAAAATTAATTCTTCTTTTACCCTCTATTTTAAAATGGGCACGTGTCCCTCGCTGTTGATGTTGTCTGTCTAACTGCATTTCTTCAGCCCAAGGCAATATAAAACATTAGAATCTTAGTAAGATTAAATTGCTGCAGCTGCTATGAATATTGCAAACAATGACTTTGCGAAGGCTGTAGTAAAGAGACGAATAAGGAATCTAGTTTTCAGTTTGAAATGAGAACCTAGTAAAATGGCTTTTATAATCATGAAAATACTATACAGAAGATGGAGCCAAGCAGCTACATGGTAATGTATGGCCAAATAGGAAAAAATGAAGAATAAATAAGAAAGATTGCAGAATTGTATACACAGGCATATAAAACAGGGCATTGGGAAAATCAATATGAATCAAATATATCTTCTTTTTCATCTGTCTCCCTTTCCTGTCCCTTTATATTTACAGATAACAAAGATTATGATGCATATCTATCATACACCAAAGTGGATCCTGACCAATGGAATCAGGAAACTGGGGAAGAAGAACGATTTGCTCTTGAGATCTTACCAGATATGCTTGAAAAACATTATGGGTACAAACTATTCATTCCTGACAGAGATTTAATTCCAACTGGAAGTAAGTTTTTAAAAACACGCAAACACACACACACACACACACACACACACACCATTTTGTATAGCACTAATAAAGTGTTAATTGTTTATATTTTAGTGCAATACTGTTCTAATGCTGTTTTAGTATACATTCCATTAAGATAAGTGACATTACCTCACAGCATATTAATAATAATAAGTAACATGATACTAAAACTAAAAATAATAAACACTGTATGGGTATATGCTAGCCTTTGTTAACGTAAGAATGTAGGATATGTAGCAACAGAAAATAAATGTTCTCTGAAAAGTTCATAGCAGACTATATATATAAAAAAATCCTAACTTAGCAGCCTAACAAAGAATTGGCATGTGCCCACCTGACAAGAAAGAAAATACAAAATGTTGTCTTATAGCTTCTTGCATGTACAAGAATAACATCTTCCAAATATTTTTAACAGCATTAAAACAGAGAGGAAAAACAAATGAATCAAACTGAGCCATCAGTTTTCTAAATTAATAGAAATAGAATATTTCTAGAATATATAGAGATGATGTGAGATGGTATATCAGTAGCTTCCTATGTTACTATTAGCACAAACATCTGCTGGACATGAAAAGCTAGCTGAAAAGTTAACCTGTGTCTTTTATATCTAGTTTGCATTCTTTGTTAAGTGGAAAGATACTTCTTATTGAACAGTATTCATTTGTGAGACCCCTCCTTGAAACCTGAACTGATGGAGCCTACTGAGAATTATGACAAGCGAGAGAGAATGTCTTTGAATTAATAGCAACATACCATGACATATTTTCATCAGTTCTATCGCTCTTAAATATAAAGCTATTAGACACTCCTTTTACAGTCATCTTTTTCCCACTGACAACTTAGACCAAATTCAGCTTTCCTCAATAAAATAGTTTTCTCACACCACACTGAAAATGTACATCAGATATAGGCTTCAACGGTTCCAGTTAGATAAAGAGGTGCTTCTTTCTCTTGCAGTTTGCACAGATACAACATGTCATATCTGTGGAATGATGTAATTAGATTGCATTAGGTTACTACCAAAGAATGCACTGAGTTATATCAAAGTGGAAAATAGATCCTATGTGCATGCAAAAAAAAAAAAATCTGTACAGGACATATTCTATTAAAACAACCATGTTTTGGAGAAACTGCCTATGTGTAGGCACTTTCCTTGTTTTTTTAAAAGGAAAGCAGAATTTACCTTCTGCTTCCAGGGAGTAAAAAAGGAAATATTTCCTCCTATTCTTCCTTCAGAGAAGGCTGTTCTCTGCTTGCTTCCTGGAAAAGTGGCAGAGATCATTCTGCCAGCAGCTATTACTCTTCCTATTCTTAGAATCAAGAATGGGATCTCACCTAGAAACAATACCACTTAACAGAGATGAATAGGTGAATAGTTCTTTGCAAATTTAAAATGAATGCTTTTTAACACATAAATTAAAAGGACTTATTTAAGATCTGCTTACAGTTCACAGTTCAGGTACAGTTTTATCTGATCTTGAGTTCCTCTTTTGATTATCAGCCTACATAGAAGACGTGGCAAGATGTGTAGACCAAAGCAAGCGATTGATCATTGTCATGACTCCAAATTACGTGGTGAGAAGAGGCTGGAGCATCTTTGAATTGGAAACAAGACTTAGGAACATGCTCGTTACGGGAGAAATTAAAGTGATCCTCATTGAATGCAGTGAACTGCGGGGAATTATGAACTACCAGGAAGTCGAGGCCCTGAAACATACCATCAAGCTTCTAACTGTTATTAAATGGCATGGGCCAAAATGCAACAAGTTGAATTCCAAATTCTGGAAACGTTTACAGTACGAAATGCCTTTTAAGAGGATAGAACCCATTACACATGAGCAGGTTTTAGATGTTAGTGAGCAGGGGCCCTTTGGGGAACTGCAGACGGTCTCAGCAATTTCCATGGCTGCTGCTACCTCCACTGCTCTTGCCACAGCCCACCCTGATCTGCGCTCCACTTTTCATAACACATATCATTCACAGATGCGCCAGAAACACTATTATCGAAGCTATGAATATGATGTACCTCCTACTGGCACCCTGCCTCTTACCTCAATAGGTAACCAGCATACTTATTGCAACATCCCAATGACACTTATTAATGGACAGAGGCCACAGACAAAAACTAACCGAGAGCAGAATCCTGACGAGGCTCATACAAACAGTGCAATCCTGCCCCTCTTACCACGGGAAACGAGTATCTCCAGTGTCATTTGGTGACATCCGTGCAAGGGGGAGTCAGCTCCCTTGTTCAGAAGCAAGGTCTGCAGTCTGGTGCCTGGAACTACATCCTCGACTGCTGCTGTTAAACATGCATTACAATCTATGAAATATGAGGAAAAACAGGGTCTTGTACATATGTTTTTGCAAATTTCTTTGTAGCATCAGTCTTCCTGTTTTACCCATGTCTTTACCATTCACATGTTGACTTTGTTTTATATGTCATTGAGATTTGTATATTTACATTTTTTAAAAAAAGAGAAATGAAGAGACTGCTGTATAGATAGGATTTTTTTTTTGCTTCATTAGTATAGTTTGAGTGTATGTGTGCGTGTGTGCGTGTGTGTGTGTGTTAAACATTTCTTGGGAATGCTTGGACAAAGCTGTTTTGAATCTAGAAGCAGTATCCATTTTCTTGGTCTGCCTGGCCCAATACCCAGAGCCATGCTTGCAGCAACTCACCATTCTGTGTGTGTGTTTGCGCACGTGTCTGTACGTGCACGTATGTGTGTGAAAACACTTGCTCTTAGGAGATCCCCACAAATGTTTCATACTCCTTTCTTCATGTTTTTATCACACTGCTACACTCTGCCCTTTTCCCCTCACCTTTTTCAAGCAGCACACTGAGTGAAATCTAAAGATGGTCTAATTGTCTAATATTTCACGTAGTAAGTAGTTGTGGAACAACAACAACAAAAAACCCAGTCTGTATTACTTGCTTCACAATAACCACTATAACCACTATGGAATCTATAGAAAGAATAATAGATTTTTTCTGTTTGATTTTATGAGTTGTTTGTATTCCTTTTATATAGAAATGACATGCCAACTCTAAGTCATTCGCTTCCTGGGAAAGTGTTGGATGTATTGTAACTCCCGCTACCTATTTTATTTGTTTGTTTGTTTGTTTGCTTGAAATCAATGGTTTCTTTTCTTTACATTCTTCAAATGAGATTATATTCATCTGCCAAGCAAGTAAGGCAGTAGGCACTGAAGTGCATTAAATCCTGCAGAGATTTCCAATGATGGCTTCCAAACCAAACTAGAATAGAAGGACACTATCTAAAATGGTTTGTCACATTGTATTACACAAAATGCTGTCTTTTAAGAAATATGGAACATACTTTTTTCAGCCAAGTTTGGAGTATATGTATATTCAAGTTTGGTCATCACCTTTTCTTTTCACTGATACATCCAGAATTTAGCATTCTTTATTAGTCATTATTATCTTTTCTTAAGCTTGTAATAACACTACATTTTTTTTTAATTCCAAGGTTGTTTAAAGGAGATCTCAGGAGGATGCAAAAAGTCAATACCAACAAACATCGATATTTTATAAAATATTAATATTTAAATCAGAAGGAGAAATGTTGGAAATAATGTTATTGAATAAAATAAACTAGTTTTATTTTAAATGTATTATTTCATCTTTAAAGAGTTAAAGAAAGAGCATGTATTTTGGCTTTGCAATTATTCTCTGCATAAATCTATGGACTGGATTTTGCCTATATGGATCCAATAAGAATGTGTCATAAATATTAACAGATTTAACTCCTCATTCACCTAGCGTTAACACAATGAGCACTACTATTCATATTTCCACCTACCAATGCAATAGTCACCTTTCATGTAAGAACAATGGGCAGCCAGCAGTAGATTATATGACTACTATAGCACTAGACTAGTAGGAGCACATTTCTTACAGCATAAACGGATCCAGTGGATTACTGATGTTAATTAACATGCCAGAAGAAAATATAACTTTTCTGTTTTGCATTCAAAATGCAACGATTTAACAGCAACAATCAAGTGAAACTGGAGATTTTTTCTTCATTGGAAAGAAAAGGAGGGAGCTTTCTACATAGTGAATGAAACATGGCCAATAGAATGGATGTGTTGTGTGTTTATTTTGATTGCCATCATAAAAAAGGCCTATACATTGGTTCAAATAACATGTTAGCCATCAATTTGTAACCTGCAATCTAGATATGTGGGTTCCATTGGTACATGAAAAATGACCAGTATCATGGTATAGCTAGTCAAGGAACCATCTGAATGGTGAATTAGGATCTCTAGGATGTATTTTGACATAATTTGACTAACAATATTCATTTCTGTGACTGTTCACTCAGGTCCTTTTCTAATAGCCTGCTATTTTGCTCGTCTGTACCCTCACCACAAAAAAATGTAGACATGTGCCAAATAAATCACACCAAGCATATAAAGCTTCCAGCTAGGATATGAAAGGTCATATTCTTTGAAAGTTCATTCTTTGAAAATTTAAAATAGTTATTATTGATTATAGACACCTGCCAGGCACTAGTGGAGTTAATCATCTTTGATAAGATTCCAAATCTCAGAACTCCAAATAGCTAACAAAAGATGCAGCAGCCCTTTCTTCTATATTTTTAAGCTTACATTTGGGTTGTGAAGTGATGTAAAGCACTTCAATCTGACCACAGTCATACTGTAAGTTCTAGCAGGACGGTATTCTTTTAACATTTTTTCCCACGAGGAGGACCTTTGTCCTCTGTTTTTAATGTAGATTGAAGCACTTTGAATAGCATGATTCAGGAATTGATGGAAACTATTTGATATTCGCACTACTTAAAGGAAAGATTTTCTTAGAATGGTTTGTCATATTATTCAGAAAGAAATGACAGAATTTGTTTGGGAAAAAGATACAAAACAGATGGAAAATGCCATTCCTGGCTTGAGAAACATTCCACCCAAGTTATTCCTTTTCTATAAACAGCTCTGTCTGAGAAACAGTAAAGGGACTGTCATATGTTCACAACGCGTACTTAATGTTTGATTAAAGTTCTGTTAGAACACAAAATAAAAAGAAAAAAAATATTTGCCCTAATTCTTGGGCTCCATTCTTCTTTGCTGGGGAAAGAGGAGGGAGGAAAATATGTTCTAATTTTGCAGTGTTTGCACGCAAAGCTAAATTTCAGGGCCATCCTTAAAAATGGAATGCATGTAAAGAAAGTTCAAAGTCTCATGCAAATGTTAGCATGTATAACTCTCATTTCAAGATTACTGAAATAAAATTGAAAGCCTAATTGGTAGGAAAAGTATGTTTCTCTCTTTCAAATGCCATTGCTAGTTTTAAGGCTGCATAACCTCAATAGCTATGCTTGGATATTTTTTAGTACTTTAATGCTGAGCTACAATTCTCTGACACCTTCAGACTTTCACTGTTACCTTTCATTTTCATAACTCAAAAGTTTAAAACTAAGAAAGCAGTAAATGGATGACTAAGGGGACTTTAAAAAAAAAAAAAAACCTTTCCCATGAAGACATCAGCAGTACAGCTTGACTAAGAATTCTAACATTAAGAATTAAGAAATAATGCAATTTTTTCACAAACTCCTCCTTCCATTTGCAGCCTGTTGAAAAGCTAGTCCAAACAATATAATATTATCTTCAGAATAGCACTGGAAATGCCATTAGGAGGAAGTGCATGGTTCCACAAAGATTATCTCAATTTTTTATTTGCTGAAAATCTTTGCTGAAAGTAGTTCCTTCCACAAATGAAACAAGTTAAAGCATCTGTCTGGATCCAATACCAGTCCTGGAAACAAATTCCTAGAATTTTGTTAGGATATGCTATTTTTTTTATTCCACACCTCAGCAGTGGCTTGCACAATCTTTTATCAGATAAAATCTAGACAAGTCAGTTCATGAAGATTCTTCCAGTTGTGAAATAATCACAGTACTGAAGAATAGAGAATTCTTACAGTCTGGTTATTGCCCTTACAAGCTGAGTAGGCTTGGCTATATTTATTAATATCCAGTGTGTGAAATTAGCTGGGTTCCTTTGCCCTAGGTACCAATGGTACAGAGAAAGGACTCTTATCTTGTTCTTTGGTACAGAGACAAAAAAGGAGCATAGCCTACCTGCTGGAAAATTCATACATCCAATCAGCTCTCTGGAAGAGCAGCAATGAGCGCAAGTATAGCTGATGCTTTCAGGTTTCACTCATGTCCACTCCAGTCAATATAAATAGGGACCTTACTGAGGCACCTTTTTAGTCAGGTGCTGGAATTCTCCTACCACCCCTTTGAAGTAATGGATACAAATTCTGCCTAAATTGTTTTATACAAATACACAGATTGACTCTACATGAACAGAGGGAAAGTACAAGACCCATTACAGCTCAGTGTCAAGAACTGGTCTCTCCCATCCAAACAATGGCAAGAATTATATAACTGGCTTATACAACTGATATTGCCAGAAATTCTCAGTTGCTGACTAGGAAAGGTTAAATAGTCAGCTGGCCATGCAAAGAATATGGACCTTTACTGTACCAAAGTATCATATTATCTGTAAGCTCTACAATTGTAGCCACTTATATTTTCACACTTATAAAATGGTCTATCATGTCTTATTGCAGTGTAACCACTTAGCCCACCCGCCCCCTTCTCAAGTCCATAAGCTGCATTTGCTGGCCACACTGGAAAGAACCATTATGATATTTCAATAATGTGCAGTAAAGAAAAATGTGTACATGTTTAGACATGGGTGATACGAAAAGAATAGGTCTGACAAAGTCTACATTTATTTCCCTTTATTTAAAGTAGCTTTATCCATGTGTGAAACAGAATGTTTAAATTTCTATTTTGAAATAGATATATGGGCACACTCTTGGAAAAATAAATGGCAATGGAAAAGAAACTGCCTGGCTTTCATGAACTAGCTAACATAGTTAACCTTGGCTGATAATATAACTAAGGTCAAGCCTGCTTAGTTATAGTTTATACTGTATAACTAAGGTCAACCCTGGTTGGATGGGAGATTACCTGGGGATCCAGCATTCTATTGTAATATCCAAAAAAACCATTGGAGGCCAGATTGAATGGTACTGCCTGTCCAGTATGATAACCAACTGACCACAAGGCATTAGTAGGGAATAGATAAAGAATTAAGGATTCTTTATTCCTTAATTCTTTATCTATTCACTATCCCTTCTTTGTCTATTATGCAGAATGTTCTTTGTATATGGGATTGCTATTCTGAGATCATTTCCTTCTGCTTTTCTTACTGGGGCACACAGACACATAGAGCACAAA